ATTATTATATTGTATTTTAATATATTTATTTTATTTTTATATATTATATTATTAAAATATATTATTATATTTTATTTTAATATATATATATATATACCATAAATTAAATAGTTCTAAATTTAGTGAATTAAAATTAATTATTTCTAATCACGAGTATTACATCTTATCAAAATGATATTACAATTCGTATTTAATAAACATTATTAATTTAATAATAAATAATAATACAATATATATTATAGAATAAACCCTAGTAGTACAAAATATTGAATACATTGAATCAATACAATTAAAATACAATTGAAAAGACATTGAATCTCTTTCTAATATTAAATACACGTGTATTCAATATTTTTTTAAAATATTTTGTGCTATTATAGAATTATTCGAAAAATTTCTCTAATAACAATGAACCCACTGTCACAATTATAAATACACACATGTTACACGTAAATTAATACCACAGAATTTTTTCTTGACGCAATCGATTACTCATGCATTAACAAATGACATTTAAAAATTCGTGAAAGCATACCTTTCCTGTTTGGAAATAAAAAAAAATAAATAATAAAGTAACAAATAATCTCAATATGGCAATCGGTTAAACTTGAAACTCAGGGGGAAATCCTTTGGTGATTCTATCGTATGAGAGATATTCGTACGAGAGAAATTCCGTGTCGGCAAACCGTTAGATCTGCCACCTGTCCAATGTCTTACAAAAGAGAAAGAGAAAGACAAAGAGAGAAAGAAAGACAGACTGTGTGTGTGTGTGTGTGAGAGAGAGAGAGTGTGTTCTTTCTGTCTATTAACAAGTAATGTCAACTACAAACGTTGACATCTATGACATAAACATTGAATCAAATTCTATTGTATACATAAAATAAAAACACATGTACACACACATACACACACACACACACACTTATCATTCTTATTTAAAACATTATATCGATCCTTTGAAACAGATAAACGTTTTTAAATTGACTTGACTGGCATAATCGATCAAACACATTTTGTTTATTTTTTTCAAAAAAATTTATTTTCATTTCGTTATCAGCAATATAAAAAGTAATCCTCATGGTGGTTTCTCTTCTTTAACTAATTCTTAATCTTGATTTACGACGATACCTTTAACAGAAGGCATCCTGGTGTCTGACCTTGAAATCGACCTCCCCCTTTTTTTTTTTTACTCTCCACAATTACCCTTTCTCTATCATTCATCCTTTCTGCAGGTTTCTTTCAAGGTTTCCAACCCCCCTACTATTCTTTCTTTCTTTTTTTTTGTTTAATTTATTTTTAATTATTATATAAATTATTAAATAAATAATTATATTATTTTTATTTAATTTATTTAATCAATATTAAATTAATTAATTGAATGTAATTAATATTAAATTTTATTATATTATATTTTACATATTATTACAGTAATTAATTTAATATAAATTAGTTTTGTATTATTATATTAATAATTATTATTTATTAGATTTTATTTAATTAATATTAAATATAATTAAATAAAATTTCAATTTACATCCCCACCTTTCTCCTTTCTTTCCCCCACCCTACCACCCTACCACCACAATGGAACAAATGAAAGTAATGGGATGAATATAACAAAATTAGGATTTTTATTTATTTATTTATTTATATAAATAATGTTAAATAACGTTGTTTTCGAATCTATTAGAAACGTTTCGTTGTCGATTGTGTTTAAGATCTTATCTATTAATGGAAAAGTCACATCGTTGGGAATACTTTCTAATCTTCTAACGATAACTTACGATTGTGTGTGTATGTATATATATGTATATATGTGTATATACGTTTGGACTTATATTACAAGATCTAACAAGATGAACTCGTCCGAGTTTAAATCTTTCGAAACTATCTTCTTCTAATACGAGATGACGTCTATCACGTGAATCAGATGACCGAAACTTTTAAATCTTCGTTGCTATGTCGAAGAATTTTTATTATTTTCTTGTTCTTATTTGTCTTTTTATTATCTTTTATGTTTTTCTTTTTCAGTTTTGTTCCTTTTTTGTCTGCGACTGTCTGCTGATTTTGTGTAAACTCAAATTATTGATCATTATCGTTTTAAATATAAGTTTCATGTCAATGGTTTAATACAATTTAGGTCAATTAGAAATTGTTTAAGTTTTTTAATATAAAATTTATATTTAGATCATCTTTCGGATGCTTTCTCGTTATAACAATTATTTATTTTTTATTATCAAAAGTTTTGTATTTACTAAGGAAATTTTAAAATTCCTTCATCGTCATAAAACTAAAATTATTGACCTTACTCTGTTTAAATATAAGTTTGATGTCAATAGTTAAATACAATTTAGGATAATTGTAATTTATTTAAATTTTTTAACATAAAATTTATATTCGGATTAATTTTTTGGTTATAATAATTATTTACTTTTCATTTACAAAGATTTTTGYATTTACTAAGTTAATTTCAAAATACCTTCATCGTCATAAAACTAAAGTTATTGATCCTTCTTTGTTCAAATATAAGTTTGATGTCAAAGTTTATAACAGTTTAGGGTA